TCTCGCCCTGAACTTCCCCGAAAGTTCCCCTCAAGGGACCGTCTCAAGAAGCGACCCGCTTCTGTGGCCACCTCCACTCGATCCACACCTTGCTGCAGAGAAGGCCGAGAAGATGACTCTGAAGTGGAGCCAGAGCGATCTCCACCCCGGGGCCCCGAAGGACCAGCAAGGGGTCTGCTGCTCGAATCCGGCTCAGCAGGCAGCCCAACGACCTCGAAGCGGTCTTGCTCCAACTCAGAAACCCTTTCCTCCAGCTGAATGATGCGCCCCTGCAACTCCAAAATCACAGCCCGCAATCGATCGAGGTCACGTGCTGAAGCAGGCGCGCCCATGCAAGGGCGGATCAAAGAAGGCGATAAAGAGGCTCTCTCTCCGGGAAGCCAAAACGCCTAACAGCCGCTCTGAAGAGTAATATGCGCGCACTCAGCAGCACAGCCTCACAAATCGGAATCACCAAGAATCCCACCAAAAGCCCAACCAGAAATGATTGCCAGTGCAGTTGCAAAGTCAGCTGCTGATCAGACTCCGAGGCCAAGGCGCTGCAGATTGCCGATTCCCAGGGGTTCAGTGGAGTGAGGGACCAGAGGAGAGTCAGGACTCGACAAGAAACGAGCGACTTGGAAAAGGAGGCTAAGACTGGAAGTCGCTCCCGTGGCTACTAAGGCTCGGGACATGGAGCCGAAAAAACTGCGTCGTATGCCGTAAACATGAGGGAGCATTTTCATTGCATTCTCCCGAGCCGCAATGCTTGTTGTATGGTACGTCCACACTACTGCAAGGGCGCCAAGGTCTCGTTCCAGTTGATTAAGATGATGCTGCATCCCCGGACTGTCTGAGGAAGAAGGCTGCGAGAGTTGGCAGGAGCTCCCATTTTCTGCCACTGTTGCGCACCGAGAAAACGAAAAGTCGAGATGCACGAAAGACTGGGAGCTGTGTTGACGGAACTCCCTGGCGTCTCCAAATGCGACAGTAAGTTCGGACACCGGTAGCTCAAAGCTCGCTCTGGATCGAAGTTGGAATGGGGTTCGTGGAAACACCTTGGACATCCTCGCATACGCATATTTCCTAGAGCAGCACAAACACATGTCGCGGCAACGTCAATGTCCAACTGCTCGACGTTATAGCCACCCGCCCAAGCGGTTTCAATAGGGGTATTCAATTGGTATGCCAAGGCAGATCAGCCCGTTCACGAGTGATCAAGGGTCTTGAAGCCTTGAATCCGCTCATTTTCTTTGTACTTGTCTCGACCTTGCAAGGGGTGCTCACCCCGCCACCCTGCTTCAAAGCTAAAAGCATCGACGAAGATGTCGCCCACCCCACACATTGCTTAGTATAGGGGCCTTAATAATAAGAATTTATGATTATAATAAGGACCCCCCAAAATAATATAGGACTTGTAAGTAAGTGCTCTCCATCCGAGCCACATCTCGCTGGCAAACAGGCTGTCGGCTGTGGTGGGGAGCTCCTCTGCTGTCATTTCAAAACCGGACTTCTGATTCGCAAACTTATCCCCCACAGTCCTGTTAGGTGCAGGTTGAAGTAGACATCTTGGTCAGTGAGCCGGTAGTTGCAGCCTGAAAGCAGCAAGAGCGAGCACATGCTGGAAGGTTTGCACTCCATGCGCCCATGCCATGTTCGGCACAAAGCAAACCCAGACCAAAGAGTAGGAAGTGAAATGTCCAAGGGCCGACACTTTTCTACTGCATGCAGTTTGCTGATAGGGGTTTTAACATGGCGTGCAACGAAATTGCCTGTCTCACACGGTCCTAGGCTTCACCCGCAAGTCGAAGCTGACCGCTACTGCTGGGCCCCTCCAAGCTGCAAAATGTCCACAACTGATCTCTACTTCTTGAACATGAGGAACTTGTGGCACTCGTTTTGGTAGTCCGGCTACTATTTGCCAGCTCAACCAGGACTAGCAACAGATTTGCGCGCTTTACAATTATTCGTGAGCAACCATGATGCTGCTTGCACCTCTCGAGCAGAACCGTTCATCTGTCAAACAGAGCGAGTGGGAGTGGCCCCAAGTGACAAAAAGCTACATAACATGCCATGAACTATAAACATTACATGTGCACATAATATGTAACCTCTAGAACTCTAGAACCTACGTATATACAGATACACACGCACACACGCGCGAAACGAACATGTCTCGCGTGCGGACCATCGCCGCCTGTTGGGTCCGACTCTGCCTCGAAAGCCTCATGAAAGGCTTTGTCCAAGGCGTTCGCTCCAGCTTGGCAGTCCTCGTCGCGAGTTCACATTGCCAGGGCATGTAGGGTCCCTAGCGCCTAGGACCTGAACTTCGCGGCCTTTGGGGCATTTTTGGGAACTGTGGATTCTATATACCAGGCTGCGGGTTGACGGGTTCTGGCTGACGTGTGCAGCTGACACGTGTCGCCGCGGGACGACATGAACAGCTCCCCATCGGTTGCTCAGTTGCTCACGTGTCTAACCCGAACCTCCCACCTGCCTCAGGTGTCATCACCTTGTTGTAGCCAGCGGGGCAAGCATCAGAGCCAGCATCTGCTAGTACCTCAAGTTGTGTCTGTTGCTCACACGCAACGTGTTCCCACAACTCGGGGCAATTCTCCGCGATGCACAAGGCTTCAGCAGTCGCCAGGCTCAGGTCCCAGGTGTTTATTGGGCTTTCAGCAGCTTGGATTCGTGGGTCTGATCCCGCGCAATGCTGACACCAAGCCCATGCAAAGAATACTTCCTTCGATCCCGGTGCCACACCATAGGTATTGTTTGCATGATGTGAATTCCCAGGGCTGCTGACTTTGCAGCCCTCGCGGTCCGTTCAAAAGCGTCATGTCTGCATGTACATGTTTTTCACTCTGCCTATACCGACCAGCCAAGCAGCAAAGTCTGCCGTAGGAGGGGCAGGTGTTGCTTGAGTGACCTGGTTGCAGGCTTGGACATCGCATGCGGTTGATCAGCTGCCGCACACATGTCAGTGATGCAGAGAGGCCAGGTAGTAACTTAGTATGTACCTCAGAGAAGTACTTTTTGACAGGACCGGCCTGGGGCGCCGCCACGCCGGGAGCCCGGCAAATGACCTGCCGCTTCGCTGTGCAGAACTTGAACTGGCAATTGGCTGTTCTGAAGACATTAATGAATTTGTTCGTGCTCGCAGCTATTTCACGTCGCCGGTGTGATCACTCACAGTATCTCAACTGACCGAGCCTTGCGCGACTCGTGCGGCGCACCCTCGGGCTCCGTGTTAAAATAGACGTCCTGAAGCAGAAATCTCCGGACACGCAGACAACCATCCTCAAAAAGCCAAGCCGCATATCCATTACCAGCCGCTCCACGCCGGAAGGCTTACAAGAGACTTCAAAACCCCAAGGCCTCAACAAACTGAGAGACAAAGACCCCCCATGAAAGCCTTTCATCTGGGACCCCAGCGCCGTCTGGAACCCGGAAGATGCATCCCCTCGGATCCAGCTCGGCAGGTCCAGCTTCCTGGAAGGATCCGACAAAATCGGAGCGGCGGCGATTTCATGATTATGGATGATTATGGTGTTTTGTGGGTCTGTGGCTGTCGTAGTTGCTCATGGCATTATCATGACTACTAGTGTTGTAAGTCAAATGACAGTCTGCAGTACTGTGACTGATACCATCCTCGTTGCTATAACATGCGACCCGTGGTAGGTATCAGAATGTCTCTGTCTATAGGATTCAGCATTGAAGGTCCTCGAGGAAGGGCTTGTCGAAGCTTTTGGCTGCTGTCGCACACTCCTGGCCCCAGAAGTGCCCTAAAGGCCCTCAAGTCGTGTAAAGTTCTAAACGCATCTGTGGTAATTCCAGAATAGGCTTTGGGAGTTTAGGGTTGGGGGGCTCAGGGGCTTGAAGTAGGGCTTAACGGTTGGGCCGGCAGCATGTTGGGCTGGTCCTCTTTGTCTACACCCGTGTGTCCGGCAGGACAGCCGTTGCTCTCCGTCTCGGTCATGACGTATCTTTGATCCGCGCTCCTCATTGATCTGCACCGGCTTTGGGAAGCAGGAGCAGCAAACAGGTGCACCAGCAGTAGACCCAAAAGAGCAAAACAACTGACGCAATCAGAATGCACTTGACTGCTTCTCACTCTCAACAGCCAGCGTTAGGATTGCCGGCAAGCCTTTCAGCCACAGTCGGCTCCGCTTGGCTGACAGCGGCCACGGCAGCCAGAACAGGTGGTGGCGATGGCACAGGATTGACATCGACTGCCTCAATGACATCCGAATCCGATAAGACTGCTTTCTCTCACATAAAGTCGCCAGGCCAAGACCTCAGACAGCGAAACCGGACGGCTTCCATTCCAACTGCAGTGGTGGGGCGGCTGCGGGCGCACCAGCTGCGGGCGGCTTCCGGCAGATGGACTTCCGGTCGCGGTTGCCCGAGCCCTGGGACGATTTTCCGTGAAAGGCCGCCCTCTCTCGCTCTCTCTCTCTGCGCTCTTTCGCCTCAGCTCCGGGCCTCCTTGGAGTTGAAGTGCACGTCGTTGTCTGGAACCCGAAACCTCGGGAGGCTCTGGGGCGCAAGCCCTGCCTTAGCCTCCTTTGCTGAGGGCGAAAGCTCCTTTGACGGATGTTTTCAGCTGAAGACTGAGCTGCAGATTGAAGTGCAGAACCCCGAATTTATCCGGCTCATACCCTGTCAGACAGCCCATGCAACTGGGACTTCGGAGATGTATTTGCTGCTTGGCGACGCTTTCGCGCTGCGGCTACAGCTGCGGGGAGCAATTCTTTCGGCTTGTCGTGCTTCCACTCCAACAGCAACGCTCTCATTGCAGCCGACAGCACTGGCATCCGCGAAATTCGGTATCCACTTTGGGGTCCATGTCCTGAAACCTTGGTTGACAGACATGCTACAAGTAGATCATAGCTTCGCAGGGCCGGGAATGAAAAGCGATCGACTGTCAGTCTGTCCGAGCTCGAAGTGTACACTCCGGTGCGCTTAGGGCAGACTGGTGATCGCGAGGCCTTGGACGGAGACAGTCACTCTCTCAACCAAACCAGCAGACTGTTTTTTGGATTATATATATACACGCCTTTAAGTACCGTATATAGGAACCCCTTTAAAGCCAAAGGGCTTCTTGTGCAGCATCTCCGCTGCGATTTCGCATTCCTCGGGCTCCACGAGGTGCAGGTAATCGGCGGGACAGTCAGAGCCTTAGCTCTCGGACTCTCGGATCTCCGATGTCGGGATCTTCGCTTCGCGGGTCACGGCCGACTTCCCGGCCTAACTGTCTAACTCAAACATCGTTGATCCTTCGAGCACCTAGGACTAGGCATGGTCTCGACTTACAACAACCACTCCGGCGCTGCGAAGAGGCATCGCAGCCTCACTTGGCCGAGGAGCCTGCGTCGCTGTACACGTAGGTCGACTGCCTGGTGCCGCGTTCGAAGCTCGCAGCTTACAACAGCTGGCCGTTTGTGGGTTTGTAGCGAGGAGCGACTACCAATGCTCGAAGTGTTGCGCCTCAGCTCGGCCTCCGTCGGGCCCTGCATGGCCGTGAATCCCGGAGGTACTTCTGAGACACCTGGCAGTGGAGGGAGAAGTCTTTGACGGTCTCCTGCTGCGAAACAGTAGGTGGCCTTCTGCATGTGGTGCCGCACCGAGGGTGGCCCGAGCCATCTGCGCCTTGCACATTTGAGGGGATAGCTCTTCCTACCAAATGCAGCACCCTTGAATCCGCACCGAGCGATAAATCGAAATACTGGAATACGAGGCAAAACCTAAACCCTAAACTCGGCTTCCATGCAGCACCTGATGTGAGCCTGATGTGCAGCCCTGCCTGGCTGGGGGCTCCTTTCTGCCTCAGGCCGCCTTTGCCGCGGAAAACCTGGTATTGCGTCTGTAGACTATAGGGTGGTATTTCGGTGGGATACTTCACTTAGGGCTTTGTGATCGCTGTTTTCCCATCGTTCAGGCGTCGGGGATTTGAGCATCGCCTTTTTTTCAGCCTCTACCAGAACATGATCGTAAACTCAGAGGTGCAACACACCCTGCCGTTTTTCTGCTGCCGAGTCGATCCCTGATGCCCCTGCAGCTTGCTGTTGAGGCAAGTCTCCTGTCTCTCCGCCATTGCTACAAGGGAACTAGACGATAGTATCTTTCCAAGTACCAAGGTGCAAAATGGAAAACGATGAGAACGGAACCTTGGATCATCCAACTTGGACCAGCATCAGCACGCAGCAACAGCTGGCAACAGCCCAACTAGGTCCATGTTCCCCCGTGTCGGTTGTGGATAATCGGAGTCCTTAAACCCTAAACCCGAAACC